CATACACATACCCGATAAAAAAAAGAAGACAACAATCTTAAAATTCCAAAACCAACCAAAAAAAAAAAAAAAAAAAAAACTTTCAATTTTCATTTTCATTTAATAATAAATAATAATTCACTCCATATTCCAAGGACAAGAATTACTTATTAGAAACGGTTAATAACGTTTGGCCAGAGGTCAGAGCAGGTGACGGGGATCGCTCCAAGGGTCCTCTCTCAAAGCTCAGGTCACAGAGGAGAGAGGCTGGCGAAGGGGGGTGGTGGTCAGGCGAACGGAGGTGGAGGGGGGGGGGTAAGAGGAAGGGGAGAGGGAGTGATCGGATGGTGAGAGGGGGGGGGAGGATAGGAAGGGAGGAGGAAGGGAGAGGGAGGGAGGGGAAAGGGCGAGGGATGGAGGGGAAAGGAGAGGGATGAGAGAGAGAGAGAGAGAGAGAGAGAGAGAGAGAGAGAGAGAGAGAGAGAGAGAGAGAGAGAGAGAGAGAGAGAGAGAGAGAGAGAGAGAGAGAGGAAAGAGAGAAAGAGCGAGAAATAAAAAGAAACAACACGAAATAAATAAGAAAAAAAAATATAGCCAAGAAGACGAATTAGAGAGAGACGAGTAAACCGAAAAGAGAGAAAAGTAGAGGGGGGAGCCTGGGATAAGACACAGGGGGGGGGGGAAGAAAGGAAAGGAGGGGGCTACAGATAGTCGAGATTGATGGACAGATTATGGAAGGAATACACAGCTGCGAAGGGAACGAATGCTGATTTTAACAGCGGGAGGGAAGAGGGAGGGAGAAACCACCCACGGACGAAATGCATCTACGACCTCGAAACGCTTGCTCTCTCGTTCGCTCGTTAACATATATGTAGTTTGGGGGATTATTGTTTACCTTTCTGGCTTTTAAATCTGGCTTTTTTTTTAACCCCGGGTCTGTTGGAAAGTGAAAGCATCAAGGGCGCGGTAATTGATGTTGGTTTTGATGATTATATATGATGGTTTTAATGATTATGATGTCATGGTGATTTAGATAATAAACGGTAATTCAACTATAAAAAAAGAATAAGTAGTGGAATATCAGTCTATGCACACACAAAAAAACTGATGTTACAAAGGCTCCTAGAATGACAAAGAAAAGAAAGAAAGAAACGAAGAAAAAGAAAGAAAGGAAAAAAAAACTCCTATCCCCTTTATGACTCGAAATAGAAACCTGGAAAAATAATCAATCTTAACATCCTGTAATACGACCGTCATTTCCACCTGTACCCTTTGCTTTTTTTACAGCACCCCCCTCCCTCCCCCCTTCCCACCCCCTTTCCCGGATGCTGTACGGACGCAGGTGACATACGGGATCTCTTTCCCCCCCCTAGCCCACCCCTAACTTACCCCCCCCCCCATTCGCCCCTTCCTTCCTCTACCCTCCCTCCCTTCCCTTGCTCATTTTCCTCCCTTTCTTTATTCCCCTATATCGTAAGGTAAGGGGTAAGGCCATGAAACTAATGGGAAAGGGAAAAAAAACTGACACCATCTTATATCAAGAATCGAAGGCAAATCATACACTCTCCACAAACAAACGTTAACGCAAGATTAAAAAACAAACAAACAAACAAATAACTAAAAACAATCTACTGAAACGCCAGAGAAGCTAATAAAGGAGTAGAGCAAGAAGCTAATAAAGGAGTGAGAGAAGACAAGAGCTCCCTTTCCGAGATTCACCTGCATGGGGGCGCTCTCTCGAGGGAGACTTCCGCCGGGACAGTAGAGTACATTCGCGTGGGCGATACGGCGAACGCAGACGTACAGAGGAAAATGAGGAGGATGAGGGGGAGGCGAGGATGAGGATGAGGGGGAAGCGAGGAGAAGGAGGAGAGAGGAGGAGGAGGAGGAGGGAGGAGGAGGAGGAAGGAAGGAGGAGGAGGAGTAGGAGGAGGCTGAAGAATTTCTAGAACAAGAACAAGTGGGGGAAGTTTAAGGAGGAAAAGACAACAGAAAGAAGAAAGAGCGAAACAAAAAAGAAAGAAAAGGAAAAGAGATAGAAAGATGAGCATGGGAAAACTAAGTAAAGAGGGAAGTACCGATAACAGGAATGGCGAAAGGAAAGAGGGACGGAGGGAGGGAGAAACAAAGAATTAACTGCGAGGGAGCGAAGAAAGGAAGAGATGCAGTAGAGGTGTGCAATTTCCTGTCATTAAGTCTCGGTCTCAAACATCACATCGTGGATCGAGAACAACCACGCGCTCACCACACTGGGCGTCGCTTCGTGGCTAGAAAGTCATCATCAAAAGTTGTAAAAATACGAATCGATCGTTAATCCCCAAGCGTGTGTGATGACCATTAATCCCTAAGCATGAGTGACGACCATTAATCCCTTAGCGTGTGTGATGACCATTAATCCCTATTGAGTGTGATGACCATTAATCCCATGGCGTGTGTGGTGACCGTAAATCCTTATTGAATGTGATGACCGCAAATCCCTATTAAGTGTGATGATCATAAATCCTTATTGAGTGTGATGACC